CTAGTCTATATTACTAGCCATATGTTCTCTTTATACGATTCACGGCTATTCTAAAATCTAAAAATCTTAATATTTTTGACCGGAAATATATATTGTTCAACTTACGCAAAAGGAATAGAAATAAGACGTTTGTTTACTTAAAAATAGAAACTATATTATTATGTTAAAGTGTTTCTTCTTTTTTTTTTACTCAAACTAAATTAAAAAATAAAACGCATAATACATTACTATTCTTGGAGCGACAAATGTGTATTATTTGCATAATCTACCATTTACAGTCATTTCAATTTTCGCGATACCTACCTACCTATTTACGCATATATTATAATTTATTTCATTTCTTATGCTAGAGTGCGATTTCGTAAAATATGATACTTTACTAACTTTGCATACTTTATATACCTACCATTATACACGGATGAAGAACATTATATTATTTAAAATGAAAATAAATACTTTTTTCAAGAGTGGCATACATATTATTAAGTTAAATTACGCCTATTACACAGAGCAAATCTTAGTAATTGCGCCTGTACTTACCGAGACATAGACATTAGGTACAAACAAATAGCTGACGATTTTAAAAAGGTATTTTCTTAATTAAACATTTTATTGTTAATATGATAGTTTTAAAAAATGACCTTAAATAAATTAGTCCGTATAAATCTATATAATGGGTACCTATATCTATATATATATATATACACGATACATACGCATGAATCGTATGATACGTGAAAATGACGTAAACGTTGTTAACCATATTATATAAGTATATTAATGATTTAGTTATTTTAGCTATTTTAAGGACTTTCTATGCATCTTATAATGTCTAATTCAAATAAAATTCAATCTATAGGACATAAAAAAAAAATATTTTATTTTATTTGTTTACTTTGTACTTTTGTGGATGATTCATTTTTTCTTGGAATACACTGAATATACACGGATACGATTGTTCATTTTGTAATCTAATTAGCCCGAAGAAAGTATTTCTCTTTTTTTTATTCGTAATTATTCAATTACAAAGTGGCTCTTTATATCTTTATAACTAGGTGCTTTTATTAAATACAATAATTTGTAATTTTAATTTTACATTTTTTTCCCACAATATAACAATAAAAAGTTCCTTGTAGTAAAAAAAAATATAATTTATTGTTCCTTGTTTTCTTAATTTTAGTACATATTTTTCATTTGGTAGGATAGTGTATGACTGCAAGCAAGGTTATAGTTAACTTAAAATTAAAACTAAACTTCAAACCAATTTTGATAACATTACTTTTAACATTGAATTGTTTAATGAAAGATCATTATTATAGATTGATAAAAAAACTTTTTCTGGTATAATGGTATTTCAATATTGTGCTAACTAATATAACAACCAATTACTACAATAATAAGAAACAGATTTATTGATTTCATATTAATATGTCGGATATTATGAATGATAGTGATATTAAGTGTATTATTTTTATTAATCTGAATGAGGTGTGTACGATCAAATATGACTATATATAGAAACGAAATATGATTCAGTTGATGTTCTAATGAGATGCTTTCATGCGCTTTGTATGCAGACTTCAAAATCTGTAGTATGTCACTTACTTATAGATTATATACTATAGGGGCCTGAGATATATAACAATCCTAATATAAACTCATTTAATCACCTTCCGAAGGTTAATTAGTATGTAGTAAAATACTAACGAAGTGTTTGAAATTTTAAAAACCATAACTTAATGAGGTAATGACAATCGATACTATAAATGATTCGAAGTAATTGTATAATTGTTTAATTTTATTTTCTTTGATTTTTTTGGACTTTATTTTATCAAGTTATCTATAAATGTGGTTATTCCTTGCTTAAATAAAAACCTTATAATAATACTACTTTCAGCTCGCAATATCATCGGACTTTGTAAAGTGTATAATTTGACCATAAACTCTTTCCTACTCCAAAAATTGAATGTATACAAGCGGCTTCCGCTTCCGAAATATTTCTTATGTTTCGTATTATGATGTATGTATAATGTAAACAAGTCTGGGAGTTCTAAGCTGACGACGAAACATTTTACGAAAATAAGCATTAACAAACGGTATGCAGGATGTGATATAATAGTACTAAAATACTGAACATAATGTAATAATTGCGCCAAAATCAACTGACAATAATAATAATAATAATAATATTTTTTTTAATTATTGTGTAACGATATTTAAATCTATTTTATTTAATGAAAAATAAACAATTATAATATTTTTAAATTATTTCGTTTGAAGAAAAGGAAAAAAGAGAAACGAACATATTTATTCTAGGTGGTGGCATGATGCCATGATTTATATACTTCAATTACCTATAGATTTCAAACGGTATTATGTTAATCATATAAAAGCACGTAAACGCGATCGGTAGAACAGTAGAGAGTTTATAATATACTGTAGACATTTTCATTAATAAACTTCCTCCTAACGATGAGATTTCTATTTGCTAGGTGATAATAATAATTTTTGTACATCGCTCTCGATGATGATGATATTATTCTTTCACGGATTTCAATCGCAATCGTATTCCGCGGCCGCCGAGTGTCTCGTCGACTATATAATATTAATATACGTTACGCTAATGTCGAAGTGGGACAAATCGAGCAATTCGTCAAGCTAATAACAAGATATTTTATGAGACTGCAGAGACTTCGATCGATTTCATTTGTATAGTATAAGTCACTTCCGATTTAGAGAACTACATATTTAACGTTCGTGGCCCGTGGATTCGTCGAAGTAACCACCTAGGTTTATGGAGGGTTTCCACTCACCGTAGATAGATGTGGTGCCGAAATATACAAGGCAATTCACCAAGCGCGCTCACACCTCTATTTTTCCAAAAATAAATGAATTTGTTCAAACACTGATTTTCGGAACTTTTGGGTATACGCCTTTAGGACCACATTTTCAATTGCTGAGATTTGTTTACGATTTAGAGCGAATGTCTAGTGGCAATGTTAACTTTTCACTTTTAAATGAAAATCGCATTTTTTCTCGGTGAATTTTTAATCAGACGCCTTTTTTGGAAACACCGATGTATCTAAATCAAAATCCGAATGAGTTGTATTTGACTTAATAAATTTTGTGCACTAAGAATAATAGGTCCACGATAGTGCGTTTGAAACATGTATAGCGGATACCGGATGTTTTGAATTTAAGACGAAAGTTATTAATTTATTAATCTATCAAAATTGTATAGCACATGAGTGAAAATATTTGAGTATAATAAAATATACTTCATCCTGTAATATTAGGTACGTTTATATTTTTATAAAACCATTTTTAAAGACTATTCTTAGTACCTATTATATATATTCATATTGATATTAATAACCAAGAAGTGAATAGTTTATTGTTTATTTTTCAATTTAGATGTATTGACATTTAAACAATAAAAAACAACATCTAATTAAAAAAAGTTGAAACTCATTTGGAAAAAAATTAATTTGTATTAATACAGGACACTTCTTAATTGGTATAATAAATCTGAATAATTGAATATGTGGAACTGGAGTAAACTTATAAATTATTATAGAAAAAATGAGGTTGATGCCTGCAGATATCACCGGTTTATGTATAATAAATTGAGAGTGGTCTCCCGTAACGACTTTTTTTCTTGAATTTTACACAAATAGTAGCTAAATGAAATAGCTATGTGAGTCTACAATATAATTTTTATGAATCACTAAATTCTCGAGATTCGACAATTAGGAGGGGGGTTGTGCTGAATTCACATGATTCGTATCACGAATGATAACCCGTTCATTAATCGACAAATAGATATAATTATATTATTATGTTTATGACATTAACATGCACCTATCGAATCGTATAATGGTTTTACTTTTAATAATATTGTCTATATAGGAAATATACAATTAAAAAGTCGGTCGTTTAAATTGTAGTCGTTCGGAGCACGGGACACAACTTCGTGTAACGCTCCGGGGTCCATTGAGTCCTTAATCCGGATTGACTGGATGACGGTCAAAATATCTCACGTAATATGTATTAAATACCTCTAGTAAAATAATAATATCCCACCTCTGACGAATAAAACCTCCAATAGTGGAAAAACGTTAACACACAAACGAGTGCATAAACCACAACAGTATTTTATTTTTATTACTTTAAATGCTGTATTGCACATATTATATTACACATACTCGTATTATCTATCACTTAGATACACAGTAATATTATACACATATATGTAGGTACAGCGAACGCGTATTGAGGACATACAATTAATATTTTTTTTTAATTCTGACGTCTGACGTTTGAAAAACAAAAAAAAAAGAGGAGGGACATGATAACATAATATTATATGATGATACATCATAGCGAAGACGACCGAACTGTACAAATAATTGTATAACACCTATGAGAACCTTAACTATCAAAATGAGTCTGATTCAGCTATTGCCATCCATAGAATTGTAACATATTTCGATGGCAATCGAACAACGTTCAAGAAAATAGATTAGAAGAACTAATAGGGACTTGTTGAGATGGAAGTATCACAGACCATATTTTTAATAATAAATTATGCCATGTATCGTATTTATTAATATGTTCCATTTAACATGAAAATTTAAATAATTTATATCATGCTTGAAACGAATACTTTTATATCAGTACTGTAGTTACTAAAGTTATGCTCTAAATTAAATTCCAATTACATATTTTGTCCTAAGGCTAAGAAACAACAACAAAGTGAACAATAAGGATATACATGAAATAACATAATGCGCATTAAATTGTATATAAGTAGTATATTAATTCGGTACTTTGGTGCATATTATAAACGTATTTTTTTAATTCGAATTATGTCCCTCCCAAGCCTCCCGCCAATACACATTAATTATTTAATGCTATTGACTAAATCAAATTTGCTCTAATCGAATTAACGATCGCATAAAAACTTAGAAAAAACGAAAAATATAACATGGATAAATTACGTGTAAATGGCGGCCAACAGCTCGGCTACGGGTTCGGGACCGGCGTCTGCGTCCATTGCGAAGCGGGCCATCACGTACAGCATGTCGTGGTGTTTGCCAAGCGGACACACGGACCCGTTGTCTCGGACAGCGCGGCCGTGGTAGGCCACGGATCCGGCCACCGCAGCCTCGCAAGCTCGACGCCTGTCCCGGCCGCACCACGGCCCGCACAGCCCGTCCACCACGGTGGCCAGGTACTCGCGGTGCATTGACCGCTTGTAGGCCGGTATCAGTTCGTCGCGTTCCAGTTTGGCCACGATTTGCGCATAGAACTCGTCCAACACAGCCTGCATAGTCACTCCTGAAACGCGTTCGTCAAGACGTGTACGACAGAAAGACAGACAGACAGACAGACAGACAGACAGACAGACAGACAGACCGACCGACCGACCAACCGACCGACCTACCCATTGACCGACCGACTGAACGACAGGCGACAATGACGATTTATGATTTACCGCCGCCCTCGGAAGCCATAAATCTTAGTTACATATTATTACTAAGCACAGGGTGACTCATCGAGTATGCTCACCCCTATTTTATCCACTTCGTTTAAATGAGTTCGTTAAAATTTTGATTTCCGGAATTTTTAAAAATATTTACATTGTCATGCCATTTTAGGAGCGTAAGGAGTGGACTGTTGACTGCTGTGGTGCAAACTTCTTATTTTCAAACGCTAACCACCATTTTTACTGTAAATAGAATTTTTAAATGTTGATTTTAAAGATGATGCATCTAAATCGAACTAGGATATAACTAACTCTATAAACTCATAGATACCGTTGTTATAATTTGAAAACTCAGAAACTACTCTCTCAAATTTCAATCGCATTGAAGCTTTAAAAAAAAAATCATACCCTCATCTTTAATAAAATTATAGGTATTAGCTATAGCAATAGCATACTTGGTGTTTTATCGCCCTGTAAACAATATTACTACATCATCCAAGTCGGACTTGTTCGATACAGCGTACTATACATGTTCTATATGTGCGATGGGTTACGCATTTGAAAATATCACATCCAAATATCCATTATAAAGGTGTACGATATTATTTAAATTAGTATGCGACGATCTCATCGTCGTACCCTTGACCGTCGAGCACGGTTATAGGTGTCATCGAGTCACTCCGCATAGGTTAACCTTACCTAACCGACCGCGACTAGGAACCAGAAACGTTCCGAAAACTCGTCACCAAGTCACGTGCGTGTGTGTGTGTGTGTGTGTGTGTGTGTGTGTGTGTGTGTGTGTGTGTGTGACAAACACGTTTCCGGCTCGAGACGTGGTCACACCGGCGCCACCCGATACGTACCTATTAAGACGCACCTACGCGAGTAAAACGATCGGTTTTCACGTTCGGTATGTCGATCGTTCGGATTATAGGTATAGTAGGTAATATCATTATCTTGTGTGTGTGTATACCTACCGACAACCACGGTTTAACGGCTATGTATTAATGTAATGATGGCGACGGACGGTATGCAGCCAATCCTCGAAAATGTTATTCAGACACAATCAACATAAAAGTATATAGATATATATTACTAAGCAACGATCGCAGTGTAAAACGAAAAATACAAAAGTTATTTGTAAAAACGATGCATTAATAGTAATAGTAATAATAATAACAAGCACCTATAAACCTATTATGATTAAAAATACATAAATTACTTTCTGTACACCATCATTATTATTATATTATATATAGGTATGCCTACAAGTAAAATAATAATTTCATATTTTGAAGAAAAAAAAACCGACCTAGTGAAATTATTATAAAGTTTGAACATATTGTTGTGTTGTTAAATGCATATGCCGCATATAGACCTATATTTTTTTCTACAAGAAATTAATCATTGAACCATATTTTGATCGAACCAGTTTCTAAAATAAAATACCGAGGTAGAAAAACGAGTAGGTACTAGATAATAAGTAATAAACTATAATAACTAAATTACTTATATATTGCTGTATAATATTATATACATTGGCCTGTAACATCGTCCAACTAAACTGCGTTTTTCTCTGCATTAGAATAAGTTTTGTGCGAACATAAAAATTGAGTATTTCATTCTGTAATTGTTTATGACTTTAGCGCAGGTAATTAAAATTCGTTGGTCACAAACTAAATTGGTTTTGTTATTTCGAAGTTGAAAAATCGAAGAGAAAGCTTCAAACGGAAATACTTAAATCTCTCGTGACTCACGGATGACAACAGTGAAGATTTTGAGTGCATATATGAATGAAAGATAAAAATAATAAGTAGGAAAAAAATAATAAAGGTAGTTTCACTATAATATTATTTTGCTTATTTCCATACATGCCTTAAGCTGTTGTTTTGTTTTCGTATCAACCAACACTGTCACCGATATTATATATATTAATACTATATACAACGATAATCAATTTTTCAGCTTCGTTAAACTATACGCATTAAATAAAATGATAAACAATACGAAAATTCTTAAACTACACAGGTAAACTTTTACCTTATTCAGAAGGTTGGTTTTTAGAAAATTCAATATTTATCTTAGACGGCTAAAATAAATAAAGAATAGAGTACCGGCTAGTATAAGTCTATGTCATCGATGTATGAACAGTTGCGGTGCGATCAATACAAGACGTGCACGAAACGTGTCCAGCGTGGTGGTATCAAATTCGAGTAACAAAAAGGACGTCGTCTCGTGACAATAGTTTTTTTGTTCCATTTAAGAAATATATAAAAAAAAAAACAAACAAAAACTCATAATTTTCTTCGGAGTAAAAACTTTTGAAAACCTCAGATAATAAACAATGATGATGATGCGTCAGTGTGTATCTACTATGTAGATTAAAAAAAAAAAAATAATAATAATAATAATAGTAATAATACATCCAATTAACTTGAAAATATAAATTCGTTTTGTGTAGTAATTATTGTGCTTTTTTTCCTGCAGTGTCCTGAATCAGAGCAACAACTGGGACCCACAGTTCGAGTTCACATACAGGGGCCTGGTGCCGATGAAAGGAAAACCGGAACCAATGAAAGTTTGGATTTTAACCAGGAAACGTGCAGACGGCGAAAACACAGAAGCGTTGCAACAACAACAATAATAATAATAATATAATAATAATTATAGTTCAATTTTATTCTTCTAATGATTTCCCTATATTATTATACTGTTTGTCTGTCGTAGTTTAAAATATTGCAGATGTATGTCATCGAAAGCAAACAACATTAAAAATTAGAATATTATATAATTATAAAAGTAACATAAACGAGGGTTTGTTTTTTTTTCCACTTCGGAAAAATCGATTGTCCTTCGTGTTTCTCTCGGCTTTTTGTTTCGGTATTTTGGCGCCGGAATGTCAGAGATCCAATATTATTATACCGCCGGCCGACTTGTCCTTAACAATTACGTGTTATTATTATTATCATCATCATCATCATCAAACACGAATACCGAACGGGTGGGCACAATATAATAATAATAATATGATAAGACGTATTATTATAAGTGATTCTCGTTGAAAGACCGCTGCGGCTGTGCGGGAAAAAAAAAGTAGCCCAAGATACCTGCCTGCCTACCTATACCTACTACCTAGGTACCTCACATCATTCCTGTCTGCCGCGTGTTTCCGCCGGTCTGGTGGGGCGTGTACAAACTGGTTTGCGCGATCTCGTCTATCCACGTCGGACTGGTTAGTGGTTACCTACCGACAGTCTTGTTCTTAGAAGATCGCGTCGCGCGCGTCTACTCGTCTCGAACACCGATATTTTATTTTACCTCGTTTCGTTTGCCGAAAAACGGTTTTTCGATTTTAATTTCGTTGGTATAAGCGTTTGTTTAGTTAGTGTTTTTTTTTTTTTTTAATTTGATACGCACATCACACCTGTTCCAATAGTATCAAACGCGCGTCTTTTGGATATCTGCAGACTTCGGCAAAAAAATAAGGTAAATGGTGTATTTGTTTCCCCTTCAAAGCGTTAACAATAAAGAGTAGTCAGACAGGACAAGCAGGCAAGGCAAACAATCGTGTGTGCTGTGATAAGTTTTGTCTTGGTTTCTTTCCTCTGAAAATTATCATGTCTGCCGGTATTTAAAATTTCTTGAAGGCGAAAATGCTTACAACAACAACAATGCAGACAACGATACAACATACAACCCCCGGCATTGTGTGCGAGGTCCGTCCCCTTTCATCCCTTTTGAAGTTCGTAATTAATGTTTCTTTGTAATTATACGCCATTCAACAACCTCGTCGCGTACACTAACTCAACGGATTGCTTACACCCCCGTCTACAGCAATAGCTGATGTCTGTTGTCTACCTGTGTAGGTATAGTTGGTATTTCCCGAAGAGAGGAAAAAAATTAAATCCAAACTAGTTGTTTAACATTTTATGTTGCTTACACAGATTTATAAATTATCGATGGGTGGTTATAACTTAGGTACGAGAAATTCACGACGGCAAACATAGGTAATAATATATTATGGTAATCAAATCTAAATAAAATTCTTCTAGTTAGATACAATGATAATGACGAATATTTTGATTTCTTATGTCAGTGGTATAATAATACTAAATGTATACACAGGCAGAGTTCTTAAAATATGTGGTCTTAAGTAACTTTAACGTAATATATTATATAGTTATACAAACTGCAGTGGTAGAGGCATATGATACGGATCCAAGAGAACGTGTGTAACCAGCTCGGGTATAATATAATAATTATAGTTTGAATCGGATTATATGTTGTTGGCGCGTTAGCACGCGATGGGAACTAACGGTGAACGGGTAGGAATCGTCCAGAAAAAAAAACAATTTTTAAAACACGCCTCGGGACATTCGGGTTGATTTCGTAGACGCACGTATATATTGAAACAATATCCACCGAGAACAATATTATCATATACAACACATATATATATATATATATAGGTAGGTATGTATGTGCAGTAGAATACGATACGACTTACGAAAGAAATCGAATTCGTTTTCGAATTGGCCTCATATTATGTTTGATATTTATTTCGAGAGTTCGTGTTGTGACATAGGAAAATGTAATAATACTAATAATATTATTATTATTATAACGCGGTAACAATGGCATTTTTTTCTCACGAGCGCTGTAATGATATGATTTTGCTCGGACTATGGTAGGTGTATTGTAGATTACCGGGTAAAAAATATCGAAACGGGCTCGCTCGCTTATAATAATATGTCAGCTACCGGCAAAAGTTGTACCCATATTGACATTAATGACAAACGCACTTGGACGATATATGATAATGGAGCCGCGGTCGCTACAGTGCTGCACACGACATCGATTTAATATTTTTCTCGTTATTATCATTATTTGTTGCCATAATATTTATATTTCCATTAGTAATAAAATAGTGTCACAGACGCGATTTTAGAACGCGCACGGATCGATGTGTCACTGCAAACTACCGGACCATTTCGAAATAATCGCCTGTTACCGATGATAGCAATGCGTGTTTCATGCAGATCCATGATTCGTAAATAATAATGATAATAACAACAACAACAACAATAGCTAGTAATGCTGATAGTAATAGTCATAGTAGTGGTAATAGTGTGGCAAATTCAATTTTTTTTTTACTGCACATTTTTTAACCATATATACCACACCATCATACACAATGGCCACCAGTCTTTACACGCTCCAATAAGTTGTCCACGTTTATCGTGTACAGACATCATATTACAATATTATATATCTGCCGGGTCTAAACTCCAAGCAGGATCAAAATGTGCAATGCGAAATAATGACTTTTACCTATCAAACCAAACACACACGACACACACACACACGACACACACACACACTCACATACCTGTACAGTCATGAAATTATCCGTCGTCGAGTGGCACATTAAGGTCCATACTCACCATAATACACGTATATTATACACGCGTGAGACGCGCAAAACGTACAAAATCCTTTCCAAAATGACTCGTTCGAATATTGTTTTCCAGTCGTAGACACGACATCGCTGTCGATCGAGCAATTTTAAATAACTCAAATTCTTATTACGTCAAAATTACTACTTTTCCTTTTCGACTATTTTCCGTGAGCAGCTTATTATGAATCACTAATTACACCGCACACCATAATATAATAAATAATAATATGTTAGCTTAGGGACAATTTTCTGCAGTGTAAAAGTTCAATTTATTTCCACATAAGTAAGCGCGGTCTGTATTATATTTATTCATTTTCTTCTCGTTATTAATTGAATTTTGTGGAAATAAATCAAACCTATATGTGTAATATGACGGTCATAATATTGTTTATATATTTTTATTAGAATTTTGTCATTGCCTCTTAGGATATAACTCCAAGTTAACAGTTTTTAGTATCATAAATTATTGAATAAAGTACGTAGGTATTATATGACACAAAAACCTTATACACCTGATCAATTCAAAATTTGAATATATTTAAAAAAACGATTAAAAAGAAACGGAGGACTTCTTCGTTAAAAGAAAGCATGTTTAATATGCAAATCCGTCAACGTGCGCCTATAGCTAAATATTTATTTAAAAAATAATGAATAAAATAATTTAACATTGAAATACAGAATTTATATATTCAATATCAAACAGTTTGTAATACACTAATACCTAGATGCTTGTTATTTTAGTTTTGGAATTTAAATAGAATCCTATTGGTATTGAATTAATATTTTTGTTTTTATGATAAATCATAATTTTAAACTCATGAATAATAAAATTTACGAATAATCATTATAAAGTTCCACTATATAATATAGTTATATCCATTTATTAATTTAAACATATACATATTTTATAGTCATATGTAAATAATAATCGTTATATGTACCTATACAATTCTACTGTACGTGTGTACATCATTGAACTCCTAAACAGATAGACCGATTTTGATGAATTTTTTTGTAAGTGTTTGAATAGATTCCGAGATAGTTTAGATTCACAATTGGACCCATAATATATTCATACTAACATATAAATACATATTTAGTTTAAATATTATTAAGTGTTTAAAACGGTAAAAATAAGTACATAGATTTACTTTGATATGTTGTCTTATACCCCTTAATTGAACTTGTTTAACGTATACTAGTATTTTAAGCTCTACTACCTACATACAATATTTATCTATTGCATGGAAAGACTTTACACAAAAAAAAACAGATTTTCACTTAGTTTTTTAAACTCGTTAGTATTTTACACTACAGGATTTAAACAGTCATTATACGTATGTGCCATCTGAAAATAACAAACGTTTACATATTATTATATTGTTGTTTAATCTCGACAAGATCTGCCTGGTCATTTGTCCCATAAAATGAACATCAATCATCACACATCATCCTGCGGAGGTTGGACGTCGCTCCGCGTCTGCTTGGTATTGAATGGATGTCAAAAAAAGGCAATTCTTTTTAAGTCAAACATCGCCAGACCAAATCATTGTGTCCCACAGCGAAGACACGCTTTCTAGAGACAATGCCATTTTTAAGCATATATTATTATTATTATTATTATTAAACAGCCTTTCGTATTGATATTTTTCCTGTTGTTAGCATATTGAATTTTGCTCTCTTGGTCACCGGTGCGTGGACAACAACTGACCGAAATCGTAATAATAGTAATAGTAATAATATCATATTATATTTAATATAACAATATATGACGTCCGATTAGAATTCGCTATGTTTTGTTTCTCGATTTTCTCGGACCGATCGCGAACGACCGACGACGCACCACCGCTCCGTCTCGCCGCCGATCTATTCTTCTCCACACACCAGACACATGAGCATGGTCCACCGAACAATGCAGAAAACTCATTGTTCTACGGCACTACGCACAAGTCATGGTTCACACAGATATTATTTTTTTTTTCAAATTGATTCGTTTGTTTTTTTTAAGTTTCTAGTTTGAAGGATAAATTTACTCGATTAAGTAATATTTTTACTCTCCAGAACCCTGACTTCCATCACCGGTTGTACATTTCTGTACGACCACTGAACCGAATATTTTTTTAATATTTTACGCTTATGCTATTATACACGATCACTTTATTATTTTAGCGTATATGACAATAACATAATATAAGTATTATTTTAAAATTTATTCAAGGATCGAAAATCTGTAAAAAATATAATGTATTTCAATATTTATAGTTTATACCGGTAAAATATAATAAGCTAATGGACCTCCCTGTTAGCATAATGTCATTATTTTCGTAGAAACATTCTATTTGAGAATATTGAACAATAGTGATATAATATTAAAGTAAGTGTGCGTAAAAAAAAATTAAAATTAAATTAAATTTTTCCAATAGAATTATTCTTAGAAATCAATAACAAATAAATTATAGACATTTAGCTCTATATTCACAATTTTTCCGACATCTATTCAGATAATACACCAAAAATTATGTCAAAAGTTAATCTCTATAATTGCATCCAACGTTTCAATACTACAGAAATCCTTAAAAATATATTTTTTTTACATTTTTGTATGTATGTGGTGTATAGTATTTCTATTCACTAGCAGATAAAAATATTTTATGCAGGAGGTACTGTTATATAAGACAGAAATACTGAATGATAACCTACATCCTATCTCGATCGTATAGCATATTCCTCTAACTACTATAGCTGATCAATGAAATATTAAACCGGTTTCATTCCATTACTGTAAGTTGTAGTAATTGCATATTTCCAGGAATATATATATATTTTCATAATATTATTAAATCAATGACGAAAGATTCAGATAAGTCATAAAATATATTCAACATCCGTTTAACTGGATATATTATTTGTCACACGCTGTTATGCGAATAAAAGTCACGAGCGTATACAGGCACTTCAAAATTCATTAGGATAAATTGAAATGTAAACGTTCGGCTAAAATCAGGTAATAATTCATCATTTTTAAAGTCAGATGACTTACCATAGTGGCTACTGGCTTGCATAAAGTAATAATACACATGTACCTCCTTGTACGTATTTTAAATCCAAGACTTCATTCTATGTTCAACAAGTAAATTATATTAAAAATATAATATTTATTAATACGTGTAAGACTGTGACCGGTGCGCGGTGTAATGAATTGGTTAAGGTAAATTATTTTATTTATAGGAAGCTTCTTCTACATTAACGTCATTTTACATCTATAAATGATGAGTTTTTTTTAATATTACTATAGTATTAATTATATTTTATTGGCATTACCAAGTTGTTTTAGTAAATAATGTTATAAATATATTTCTTATATTACTATCGATTAATGCAAAAAATATAAAAATTGTGTTACTTTTTTAACTACCTGCATTTTGAAAGTAGTTATATCTGTATGTGTAGTAGCTAATATAAGATGTACTTATTACTGCTGATTTATTAATTTATTATAGTTACATATTTAACCGTCTTATAATTTTAAAATAACAAAAACGATATGCATAATAAATAAATAATATTGTATTTTAGTAAGTCGATCGTAGTTTGATCGGTTTTATCGTGTGAGCAAAATGTATGTAATAATATTATAATATATAAATACTCCTAAGAAATTTTGTAACTCAAGTTATAAATTATAATATATTATCAATACATAATATATACTGCTTAGCTATATTTTCACTTTACTAATGAGTTACGACCAATTATAACATGTTTATAAATTGGTAACTATAATGTATACTTATAAAATATTATAATCCATATAAAAATTAAATAGAAAAATCAATTTCCTTGATTAAAAGACATTTATAAACGTTATCTTTAAATCATTCGGTTGAAGAAGAGAAAATAGCGATAAATAAATAATTTAAGTATATATCTTGATTGTCACGAAATTCCATGAACATAATAATAATTATTATAATTAATACTACAGGAGCGACATATATATGGGTATATTTGAAAATTGTACAAACGTCCTAGAGTCTAAAATACATTACTTAAATTCAACGATGATCTTAAAATAAATATCCTATATAGACTACCGCAGTAGCATTATAATTTTTTTTTAATTACACAAAAAATTAGTATGTGAACATAATGTAACATATTGAAGTCATCAACGCACGAGCGCAGAATGGATTGTGCATGTTCTTTTTTTTAAACATAATATGGTTATGATATCTTACGTCATGATTCGTGTTATAGGTATTCATTCGGTCGACGCAAGTGTGGTAGTTAATAATATTATTCAGAGTTGTACCTACTTTTTTTATGCATTGTTCTATTAACGAATATTGTTCTATTTTCGTTCGAACTTTATTCTTTTTCAATCAAATTTTGTTTGGCGGTCAGTGATTTTTTTCATCGTGTTTTATTAAACGACTAAAGGGTGTTAAAAATAATAAGTTAACATACCTATATAATTCTTGATTACATTATAATTTTATAGGCGAATGTAAATTTGAACATGAAACATGATATAAGAGGTTTTAATTTCCGTAATAATTATAATAGGTAATTTAATTAATGAGATTTATATTTTTTTTATTATATAGATAGTATCGCGTGTGTGTGTTATGATACAAATAAATAAGAATTACATATTATATTATTTTATGGTAGCTGATGGCTATAATTTAAAGGACAAAGTTTTTCCTTTATTGCTTAGCATTTAACACACACCTATAACTTACTTATGGTTATCAAAATTCATAAAATTCCATTTACACAACATAATGTATTAATGTTATAAATAACCAAGAATACGCCCAAACGGTAAAAAAATATGACCTTATATACCGACTAATTAATAATTGTACAGATTTTTATTAAATAAATATACAACAGCTATGGTATTAGTTTTACATTAAATCGATTTTAATGAGAATATAATACAAATATTTGTTAATTTAACTGTTTTTTTTATTAAATTAGATGCTATTTATATTTATCTGGCAAGAATAAGTTGTATTGATTTATTGGATATTTTTAATAACTGATTTTTCATTGAAGTACATCAACATAATTAAGTAGCATAACTACTTAGATTTATAGTTTGAGAAAATGTTTCGTTATAATTTTACAATAATGTGTATTTTTTGTGTTACAAATAGGGCCAACATAATTTTGGTCCTTGGTACTTCGAAGGTAAAAATAATATTAGGATACATAAATAATTAAATGGTTTAATAGGTAGGTACCTACGTTATTAAGTTGAATAATTATACTATTACAGTATACGCTATAATTATTTTAAACCAACTCGCATCATATCATTTTTAAGTTTTTAACCGATATGTATGTCAATATTTTAAATTTTTTCAAGTGTACCACTTTTTAATTTTTAAAGAATAATTAATAATTTTAGATCTTGATTTCATACGATAAAACTATATAAATGTATGCTTTGATTCTATGCATTGATTATAATATATCGTTTTATCTGATAGTCTCAGTGCACTACATTTTGTCAGCATATACTTAGGTAGGTACCTACCTAGCTGGTACATTAATAATATTACATTTTAATATAAAATGTTTATTTAATACATTTTTTTTTTTCACCGGATTAAAACCATCATTAAATCGCATCCTGTTCAGATAGTATAGATTTTGTAGTTATCCGTACAAACTATGGATTTGCTTTATCGTTTTATAAGTACCATGTATTATATTACTATACCTATACGTGTATTTCTCCGACAAAAATGTCAGTTGAAGTCGTTTCTAATAAATAAGTTGTTTACCACAAAATATGATAACAATCCATCATTATGCATTTTTGTATAAATCTATATAATATATAGCGACTTTCACCGACGGATAACCGTTAAATCGCGCACTCCACCGTTATCCACAGATTCAGCTGGGGAGAATAACGAAAGAAATAAAAAACCAATAACGATTTCGAAGAATACCATATAGTCTTAATGGTAGTGGTGGTGTTAGTGCAAAAAATATGTACAAGGTGACGCTATCCGTGCATTTGTTGTATCTGTCTTACGCACGTTGCAGACAGAAAATGTTCGACCACCAGTTTGAAATGTTTCAATGGTGTGCTGTCAGTAGTTTTGATATACTATAATGAATTTATCTATTATACAAACTTTTGGGTGGAAACATTATCTGTGCTTCAGCTTCGGTGATTTTTTTAAATATTTTGATTTTCAGTATATTGATTATAGATATATCTATCAATCTACGTATGGGTAAGTGAAGTATCACAAATATTGAAAAATATGCTCATACCCTGCTTGAAAATGAAAATATCGAATAAAAGCCGACGTCTGAGCACAGACAATGTCTTTCTTAAAAGTTCGATGTAGGAGATCGATTCACTCTAATATCAAAAATATCATCACATTAATGAAGCAAGTGAACAAGAATTTTCCATGGCGTACGTTTGTAAGACAAAGACAGCAAACGCATGGGTAGCGTCCCTCTAAGTGAAATATAATATAATCATGTTTAAGTCGTCGTCATATTACGATGGACACATATATGAATACTATTGCAGCTGTTTAATATACGAGTTCACTGAATGGCGTTAAGAAGATGCCGCCACCGCTTCGTAACGATGTATTTTTCATTGCAAATAAACGATTATTTTGTATTTTCGGCCCGTGAACCGACCGAATCGCATCCCTTTAAGACCTAAACGACCGTTATATGACTTATTCATAACTCGTGTAAGTACTTATACATTATTCTTTGTAAAAACAGAAGAGGCGAGGACCTTATACGCTGCTGCAGTCTTGTTATATACTTTATTTATCATAACGTTGAACATATTATTGTTATTATCGCAGAACACAAAAATAATAATATTTATTCCGTGATATTATACCTGCCTATATGGTTCTATTACTTTTAAACACGCCCATCGATAATATTTTCAATTGTTATTGAAGTTTTGCGTGGAAAAAATTCCAATTATTTTAGTCCTGCAGGCTGTAGGTGAGATGAGTGTAATATTATAGTATAATAATACAGAATTGTCATGGATGCAATATTATAATATTTAACTTGTGGTTGATTTAAACACTATTACCACTACTGATACCGGATGTTATACATCTTTTATGTACAGTGGCATTTATACGATGAGGGGGGGGGGTGTTGAACACTCCCCTGGTATTTGTTTACACTATATTTAGTCACTATATTTGTTTAAAAATTAATAACATTTAAATGAAGTATTTTTTTTTTATTCTTCGAGACAATAATGAGCCCCGCTGAATGCGTAACATATACAAATAATTTTTTTATATAACCTCTCATTAAAAACAACTGTGTTACACATAAAATTATTATGCTTACCATGAGGGACTTTGCGTGTTTCAGGTTTCGCGGGAGCCATGTTGGAAACCGTAGCAGAGAAGAAAATCCCGCCGCCGCTGCCGCCCAAAACCCGTCGCGGCTGCCTGAAAAACGGCGGCGTCGAAGGCAACTGTGGCGGCGGCGCGACGATTCTGCAGTCCAACGGTCACGTGGTGAAAATCCGAATAGACCCAATGATGGTGGACGGGGGCGGCGGTGGTAACGGTGCCGGTGACCGCGCCGAGCGGGACGACGGGCCGCGCCGTGAGCACGCGGTGGGCCGCCGGTCCAGCACGGTCAAGATAAACATCACTTGCGTGGACCCGTTCATGTTCCGCCGGCACTACACCGACGTGGACGACGATGATGACGAAGATGACGACGAGGACAGGCGCTCGTCGTCGGGACACCGGTCGCCGCTCGACAGCGGCACGGGAAGTGACCTGGACACGGGCAGTCGACGGGACGAAAGCGACGACGGGACGTGCAGTTGCGATTCGCTGACGAGCAGCACAGCTGATCCCGAGACGGCTGTAATGGCCGTCGAATCGGCGCCGAAACAGGCGGTCGCTGCAGCCTGCGCCGATGCCGTCGATGAGCCGGTCGCGTCCGATCCGGTGGCCGTCAAGCCGCAGGCACCGGTGGTTCAGGCCTGTACCGCGGCCGGGATCATGGCCACGGCCACCGTCGCGACAGTCGTCGAAGAGCTGCCGAAACGTCCGTCCTCGCAGTCCGTCCTCGTCCAACAGCGGTGTTACAACGACAAGTCCGTGGCCGCTGTGGCCGCAACCGATCGCATCATCGACATGGACAACACGGACCAGTATTACAGCTTTCACATGAACGAGAACGTGTTCGACGAAGTGGACGCGGCCGCCGTGGCCGCTGCCGCAGCGCCGTCAGACGATACGTTCGCGGGGTGCAAGACGGTGGCCACCTCGGACACGATACGCAGCGCCAAGGGTACAATCAGGGGCGTCAAGAACCGTGTCAGGGCCGGAATAGCGACGTTCTTGCAGCCCAAGACCAACAAGGTGAGTTTAACCGACTCGCGCGATTATGTGTACTGCCAAATTCTCGAATAATGATTCACTTGCGGTTCGGTGTAGCGTTCTTAGTTATTTAATTTGAAGGTGGAGCAAAATCAAATCAAAATGTTGAATCCTTAATTTATAAATTATATATTGCTTTTTATGAGGAGGAAGAGAGGGTTCGTTGAAGTTTGAATATAATAATATGTAAAATCTAAGCTTCCCAAATAAGGAAATATCGTATAAAATGTCTACATAATACGTCAATTGGTGACGCCAAATAATATGATTTCCGGTGGAGTCAGAAGATTCGACAAATTTGTCATTATATTAAAAAAGCGCAGAACAAAATCATATGTTTTCAAACTTAGCTTGGAAATATCGAGGGTGAGTAAATGCATAAGGCTCAAACGTGACGGACGATTTCCTACATTCTGTTATTATACAATATACAGTAACACCATATAGTGAAGTAGGTACCTATATAAAATAACGATTTATATTTATATACTCGCGAGCAACGCAATTACTAAATTAGTTAAATATTTTTTAAACCGTTGAAACTATAAACTCTCACATCATCACGAGTTTCTCTCAATAAACAGCACTGTTTTTTATGTTGTTATCAAATTGAAAACCCACTTCTGAGCTCTGATGAAATCGGCAGCAATTATTAATACTGAAAATATATATCATTAGTATGAGACAACAGATGATTTCGTTACAAAGACACACCCGACCAATTTGTCCACCGAAAACAATGACCTAGATATAGTGACTGTTTGATACATACGTGTAGGTACTGCAGTACACGACGACACGCGAATAATGTGCCTTTTCATAAAAAAAAAAACACATCATCGGCTACATTGTGTACCTATACGACACTGCACATGACATAACACCGTCTGGTTTGTGCTCATTTGGTAGAAATCAATAAATTATGTTATTAAATACCTGTGTGAGAATGTGACACACACCATCGGGATTTCGTTGCATCTGCAGCCACCGGTAGCGTTGCAAAACCCTATCGTGAAATAGTTTTGGAACATTTTCGTTCTGTTACGTCATAACGATGAACGTACGAGAGAAGATAAGCAGTTTTACGACACTAATAATAATATATGCATGTCGAACCACCAGACGTTAGTTCGTCGGTTCGTACAAGTATAATGACAGCTATATTATATTGCCAGAGAAAAAAACTATTCCGTTCTAGGTTGTTTTATAAGATCGAGTTTACCACCAATATTATATAGTTAGGTAGGTAAGTATTAAGAAATGGACAAAAAATATTTTAAATTTCACACTGTCGCTTGCCCGGATAAATATTATAATGTAGGTATTAGCTAGGTAGGTATATTCAACCTGGTGTTAAAACGTATCATCTGCAATTATAGTTGTAGGTAATATAATTTTATGATTAATGAGCAATATTGCAGACGTGTAGTAATCTTACCTGTACAGCTGTCGACTTTTTTTGAAACGTTATTACATAAAAATGTAATATGCATAATATGCATATATTTTAGTGTACCTATATGTAATAGGTATTGTATATTATTTTGTAATACATAATAATTATATGCACGTGCCTGTGAAACGCTCAATTATATAAATAAAATATCAATTATTTTGATGAAAAACAACGCAGTACCTAATCTAGACACGTCATAAAAAAAAAAATACTCGATTTATATAATAAAATATAATGAGTGTTTGGACGAATTGATCTAATTCAGCAAATAAAATACATATTTTTATGTAGAATAAAATGTCGATAGTACCTATTATGTAGGTAAATATTAGTTACACAGGAAAATAAAAAAACATGTTATGAAATAATAATCACTTTTTTAATAAATTTTTCATTATTGATCGTTTAATTAAAAAAAATCATTGGGCATAACTTGCGGTATCGTACACAGATTATGGTTTTCAATTCATTGCACGTGTATTCTGAGTCCATCAGATTCGTACTTTTTAGCATAATATAAATTTATCGTGAACCGTGAGGAGTTATAATCGCTTATTATGATTTAAAATATTTATATAATTTTATACTTATGCAATACGAGTTTTTGTTTTTGATTTCTATTAATTTTTTTTTTTTATGTGAGCATTCATTTTCACGAAAAGTACTAACGTTTCGTATTCTTTTTTTTTTTGATGAAGTCTTTACAAAACCAAGTTTTTGAGAGAAAAAATAATGTCTTTTTTATCGTTATATTTTTCAATTTTTTACTTTTTTGGTTCATACATTAAATCAGAATTTTGTTTTGAGAATTACAAATTACAATGTTTAAAAATTAATTTCGAATAAGTAGTTAAGAGTTATAAGTAATTACTAATTTTCAGATTTGATAAACGGAGTATATCTACGCATATGCACTTAAAATACTTATCTCTAATCAACATTATATTTTGCAAACATTTTTTTTTACATTTACTTTGTGACTTTATACAATGTGAAAACATTAATACTTATTGAGAAAATGAGTGTTAACCTTTAAAACAATCACCTTGTATATAGTTATACGTAATTACTAATTAACTAGGTAGCTACTACCCATAAAATATTTCCAACATTTTTTCCTAATCATTGGCAAACATAATTTCTTATTACAAAAATGTCCTTATAATATCGCTTAAAATAAACGATAAGGTAATAAAAAATAAATACACGTTTATAACTAAATAGCTTTATGGGAGTATAGGTCAATTTCTCAATTAAAACAATGGGCTCATAAATTCCCATTCGACGACGAATGTATTTTTTAACCATAATAAACTTATATTGCCAATCATTGTACCAATTACTCTACTTTACTAAAATATTTCATATTATGAATACCGATTGTCGTAATTTAAATTGTATCGTTATATATTTTACTCCCTCAATTTTAAAACCAATAATTTCGTCGAAATATTAATATATAGGTAATTTAAAATTCAAATCAAATGCTATTTAAACTTATAATATTAAAAAAATAAAGAAATATTCTATCAAAAATAGATATTTAGAAATATTATGTAGGTATATTATTATTCAAAAAAATGTGTGTGTGTTACTATAATAAGTTTACTCTTTATGTAGCATATATTGTAAATTTTCTGTTAGTCCTTTTTGCTATATTATATAATATTATAGTAATTACTTCTCAAAACAAAATAAAATACAGTTACATCGAAATACTAGTTGCTACTTATAGGTAGACGTGTAAGCTTTATGCACGTCCCATTCATTTAGACAGGACATTTTTTTTGTGTGTTCCGGTTAAACAAGCAAACAACGTTTTGATGGGTGACATTTATTTATTTATTATTATTATTATTATTATTATTAACAACGATACTGTTTACTAGAGTCCCAATCATTTTTTCATTAACAAACCAACCTGGCCCAGTTCTTCACCTATTTAATCTTCAAAACCTCACCCTGTATCAATATAGGTATTTTTTAACACCTCGGGTTTTCGTCTACGTAAAAAATCTTCGTAAAATATTATATTTTTTCAAATATAAGATGGAACGTAGTTAAAGCCCGATATTTCTTGAAATACCTACCATAAAAGCTCGCCTACGTGATATATCGTTGTATAAAATAAGTCCAGTCAAGTGGTTGTTCGCTTTGAAGGATCTGGTCCTTGCAGACTTAACTATTTATTTTTTCAACTTCTGCTTCACCGAAGAATCCTCAGTCGCGAGGGAAAATTACAGGAAATGTTTTATCAGTTGAATGGACTACAAAATGGATGTTCTTCGGTTTTTAACGCAAATACCAATACCAAGTCATTGTACAGTGTTTACGATTCGTAAATAAAAATACTACACTAAGTGCTACTAAGTGTTCTACTATACCTCCTATACCTATGACGTGATGCAAAGTGAGAGTAAAAAATATAATTTCATACGTCTCGGCAAAGTACTTATCATAAATCATAAAAAAAAATATAGGTGGTCCAATTCCAACGGTGTCACGGTTCCACAAAACGTTCAGTCAGCGCGTGTGTTCGTATTTTTATATTTTAGTCATTGGATTAGTAGTTAGGTATGTGACACGGTTTCGTCGTGCGGTGTGCTCCGTTTGTTCCGCCTGCAGGACGGCGTGTGTCCTACTACACGATGCGTCTGCTGTCGCTTCTCCAAACAGCACGAAACATAACAATATAATAATAATAGTAATAGTAATAATTAATAATAATAATAATAATTAATAATAATAACTACAGTAGATATAATATTATCGTTTCGCTGCATTCACCAGTCATACAATGAAAATACGTGAAAACTTAAAACCGTTTCCGCCGATTATTTATGATGATTATTATTTTTTTTCCGTTTTGATCTTTGATTTTTATTTCATGAACGACGTGAACACGCACACGCCCGCACCTGAGTGTATAATAGTACAATACGCGACTAAATTACCTATATGTAATATATACAGTGTCTACGGCCGCATAATATAGCATATAATTTGTATGTGTGTGTGTGTGTGTGTGTGTGTGTGTGCACATATTGTATAGGTACATTATAGTATATAATATTATGTGTTATTATCATTATATACACATGCCTATGTATATGTATAATTTAGAGTGTTGTTTCTATATACAGGCTTTCGTTCTATAGGCTTGTAATCTATTTGGCGCGCCGAACTGAACGCTGCACGTCGATCAATCGAAAATATAACGTAACAATATTTCCGACCGTGATAATTCACGCACTCGAAGGGTTGCATAATGATAAATATACGCATATATAACATTGGGTATATAATATATAATGTTAGGCATGTATATATATACACAGTTGGGCGGCGTCAACGAAACATTGTAACAATGGGACACGGAGCAATATGTCCGAAAGTTTCGCAACTGTTCACTATTTTTATTTAATAATATTTTATTCATTTTCGCCGTGTGGAAACCGCCCGCCGATGATGGTTGGAAAATCGGAAATCATTAATTTCCATGGCGAAATGTAAAATATCTAACCGT